GAGCTCATCCGGGCCTGCCGACTTCAACGCATCCAGTCCTTCCAAGTGACTCTGCACCATCTCAGGGTCAACGCTTGGTGGTCTGGCGCCCTGCTGTTGTCTGTCTACGAACCCATTGTGAGACTTGTCTTGCCCCTCGTTTAGTAAGACTGAGGCAAAGAACTCATTGAGTTGTTCAGCCTTGTCCCCCCTGTCTGTTCCCAATTGCTTTTGCCCATTCAGTAGTGGTCCTATTCCACCCTGGGCCTTCCTTTTACTCCCTATATATCTGAAAAACAATTTTGTGTTATCCTTAACTTGGGATGCCATCCTCAGCTCCATGGTAGCTTTGGCCTTTCTAACTGCCTCCCTACAACTGCGAGCTGAGGAGGCATACTCCTCTTTAGTAATCTGTCCCTGTTTCCACTGCTTATATGCCCCCCTTTTTGCCCTTAGGCTGCTCTAGATTTCTCTGGTCAGCCAAGGAAGCCTCTTGGCCCCTTTCTCCCCCACATCGGGATCGTCTTCCTCTGTGCACGAAGGATCACTTCCTTAGGCACAGCCACCCTTCCTGGGCTCCCATCTCGCCAAACCTCTTACTCTGCAGTGCATCATTGACGTCATAGACTTTCTCTGGTAGCTGTTGATCTGCACAGCCACAAGTGACGGATACTTACGCCTGGGTTCCAGAATAACTCTGCAAACACAACCAGGTCAGCAGAAGAGAGCGTCACCCCCATGTTTGCAGCGGTGATGGACAAAACAGCCACAGAGAGTTTCTCGGAGACCTGGAAATCCTGGCACAGAGACTGGCGCTCGGCTGAAGGCGTGGACCCATCGATGCGAATATACCCAATGCGCTGAGGAAAGGGAATGGGAAACGCACATTACCAGGGCTTTGTTTTCACATGTTCTACCAAATTTCCTTCACAAGACTTGGGGAGATCAAAGAAACCTCAGAGAGTTACTACACCGCAGCAGTCTACCATTCTCTGCCTTCATAGAATTTTATAGATGCTACAAAATCTGCCACTTGCTGAACAACAGTTGAGGAGAGTGTGTAAAATAAACACCATGAACTTAATATCAGGTATCACTGGGCTGTTATTCATTTTTAGCTGTATTTTAAAGAAAAACAAACCTTTTTTTTAATTAAAGCAGTGTGTGTACACACATATACACACACATATACATATATAAAATGATGCAATATATATTAAACATTTTAAGAAGTGATATTTTATATAGATATAGAGATATTTTAAAAAATTAATATACATTTTAATTTATGTGTGCGCACATATATTTTATTTATTTATTTTTAAGGCATTTGCAGAACTTTTTGTTTTAAGAAATTATCTGAATATTTCCTTATGCTCCAAGACACAAACCACAATTCAAAACAAATGTCCCCAGTCAGCAACCCCTCCATCTGGTCAGCTGTCATCTAGACCCTTATCATGACAAGGCACTAAGACAATGATAAGCCTACAGCTAGGGGAGAAGTGGATAAAAAAAGTTGAGTGCAGACCTGAGTACTGCCCATGTACTGATGCTGCTGCCACAGTGTCCCAGTTTCTTGATGGAGACAGGACATGTCCCCACACGATTCCAGAAGAATGAGCAATTATCCAACTCTACCCCCAGACTTATCTCCAGGAGGAAATGGCTGCTTTCAAAGTCATATTCTACCTGGCCCCAGCCAGGTCTCACAGATAAGCCAACACCCCCTCATAAACAGAGATTTCAAAAGGATATAGAACAGATAAAAAAAATAGACAAGGAAGTTTGACTTTTGCTTATGACCACGGAGAGACTGCTAGCCAGCTACGTCACCGCAGTCTCCCTGCAATAGTCAGATACAAAAATTCAGACCAACAGGGATCCAAGAAACCAGACGGATGCAGTTGTAGCCAGGGTTGGTTTGCTACTGCTGTCTCACCAACTGTCAGCAAGGAGTAACAAGCAGCAGTGGCAAGACTTGGTACCAGTACGGTACTACTGAAAGCACTGGGCAAACACCAATCTGGGTTGGTGGCTAACACCAAGGAACACTACCTGCAGGGATGGCCCGTGTGAATATGAACTGCAGAGCCCACAAGGCAAACACATTCTGGACCTTAGCTATTCTGCTGAGGGTGTGCTAGAAATCTCACACAGTAGACGATCTGTGTCACTAGCTTTCATAAGCAAGCCAACTTGCCAGGACTTTTGAGATCCCTTAAGCAGTTGTGGCATTGGGACAACAATAAAATGAGCAGGAAGCAACCTGACTTAAAAGCTTACCTTTTTCTCCAGTTCCTCACTTATTGCATCCAGTACTATCTTGTGATGAGCAAACACCAGGAATTTCTCTCTTCCACTTTCAAGTAAGTCCAGGATGTATTCTCTGCATGAAAAAAGAAAAAAATAATAACTCTAGTTATGTTACCCCAGTCCAGATAAACCTCAAATCCTAAATCATCCTATTAATCTGTAGATAGAAATCAGAAAACCTGCTAGCAACAGAAACCAGACTTCAACAGTACATTCTGATTCTTTACCCAAATACTCACAGATTCAAAAAAAAAAAAAAATCTAAGCAAGCATCACTATTTACTTTTCTGTCCAGAGTTGTTTTTAATTGTTTCCCTCTTTAAGTTGGTCCTAATTCTACCATTCAATGTGATATTCAAAGTTACTTCTGTTCATCCAGATATTTCATTCATCCATTTGTACTTCTAACTTCAGTGTCTTGGGCAACACATTCACTATCCAAGAAGCAGTGATCCGTAACATGTTTTTTAATGCTACTTTCAATTTATAAGTAAAAAAAAAAAATCATCAGGACACCTCAAAAGTTATTTCTCTGCCAGCTAAGAAATACAAGAGCCTGTTACATAAGAGTCTTCTGCAAGTTACCTATACCTTGTTCACAACAGGTAAAATAAATGTTGGCTTTTAGCAAGGGTTGATGGTTCAGCAAACTGCCAGGATCAGGACTATGAAGGGTTTCACTACAAAGTAAGGGTTTTCAGCATGGTTTAGGTTAGCAACAACTGAAAAAATCCAAAAGGACCTTCATGCCCTGTAGCTATGCCATCAGGTTACTGGATTCTGTAATGCTTGACCAAGAAATGCTGACTGTTTCAGTTAATTCAGGGCTGTCCCACTGGCAGCCCATGGACTACATGTAGCTCGCAAGGGGCTAAATTGCAGCCCCCAAGCTCCTGCTGGGATGCTGCTCCTTCTTCCGGCAGCCACTTCCTGCCCCCACCCCAGGGGACGAGGCAGTATGGCAGACTGGGGAGCTGAGAGTGAGACTGGGAAATGCAGCGTAGTGGGGATTGGAGGCACACAGTGCAGTTACGGGGGTGTCACAGGTATGCAGTTCACCAAGTGGGTCACATCCATGGGGTGTATGGTCCAGTGGGAGGCTATACCCTGCCCTGGTGCACCCCCCTGGGCCTACGGCCCCTGCTGGTGCAGCCCCCGGCGAGTTGCAAGTTGGACAGCCCTGATTTTTCTTTTTCTTTTTTTTAAGATTTGCTTTTCTTTAAAATACATCCAAAAATGAATAAGCATCTCAGTGATACTTGACGTTAAGCTCCTCGCATTTATTTTATATGCTCTCCCCATCTGTTGTTCAGCAAGCAGCAGATTTGATAGTGACAAGGTACAGCAACACCATGCGTATTGTCAGACGAAGCTGGTCACTTTGGCACCTGAGAGGCTCTGGGAGGCAGCGTGGGACTGCAGGGCAAGTACGTTAACTAGATCACATGTGCATCTTTAAAAGTTCATAGTAGGCACCTCATAGAAATGAACAGAGCAGGTCTATTTGCGTCAGGCCAACGGCAGATTTGGAGAAACAACACTATATGGGGTTTTTTCAGCTCACATTTGCAATAAGAAAAAAAAAACACCTCTTTTTAAAGAAAGAAGAGAGAGACCGGAGTGCAGTATAGTGGCAAACCAGCAGATGAATTCTGCAGCAAAGTCTGAGACCATGAAATCACCCAGACCTCGCTGCCAGGTCATTACCATAAGACAGCAGTTCAGTGGACTATAAGAAATAAATTGCTGGAAAGCTGGAGTCATCTGCTTCATCATAAAAAACAATCCACTTTCTAAGCAGCCCTCCCAGACTCCTTGGCAGTCTTGGCAGAAAAGCCAAGGATGGAGACTGACCAAAAGAAATCACCTCTGGCAGGGGCAGGAGTTGAAAGCACCTCTCTGGGGAACCATTTTCTGTTACTGTGATCCCAAAGCAGCTCTGTGGGGAATCTGAGAGTTTCACGGCTGTCAACATGCCACCTTTAGCGAGAGCTATAAAGGCTAAGCTCCTTCGATAACTACACTGGCTCAATGTTTTCTGCAACAGGGTGGCAATAACGTGCTTGGTTTCTTGAATTCCTTTCATCCTATTGATTCATTCCTTTTAAACGACAGCAGGGTCCAAAGCAGAGCACTTGATCCAAACCCCGTGCGCCGGGTTACTTCAATTTGGCTCAAACCACACAGTTGAGTTCTCTGTCTGGAGGTAAGCCAGCAGAGTGATTCAGAGAATGCGTCAGCACCGCAATTAAAACTAAATGCATTTTGAGCCCATTTAAAAAAAAAAAATGACACTTGGTTTTGCTGCAACATTATCTCAAACTCCCTTCCTCTTTTCTGGGAAGCAAATCCCATTTTGCTCAGTAAAAATGAGCCACTGACATCCAACTTACATGACAGAGCGGATTTTGGCTTCGGCGGTTCTGTTATAGAAGTGGAGCAGAGCTTCCTTCTCTTCTCGTTTCTGTGAAGGAGGACAGAAACGTGTGTCAGTTTTCAAACCACCTCCCCCCACTTTCTGTTGGCAGTCCCAACATGCCATTACTGCCAACCCACCATGCTGGGAAAAACCAGACAATCCTGCATTTTCTTGCATATCACACACCCCAGAATGAGAAATGCACCTTGATTTTTGAAAGGCAGAATGGAAGGGAGGAAAAAGATTTCCTTATAATAAGAAACTGAGCAGCGAGGGAGCCCTGCTTCCTATTCTGTTCCTTTGAGTCTTGTGGATTTTCCTTTCACTTTTGTTGGGCAAGGGCAGAAATGGTTTTTACCATATTTTTTACATATAATATGCATGGCAAATTCCAGCAGCTGATTGGGGGGAGGTATGTGTTGTATGCAGGAAAATAAGGTACTTACAAGAGATGGATCACTGTGTAGGAGGGGAATGTTTTACATAATATTTTTGGGAACTGACTGAATAAGCAGCAGAAAAGGACCGGGGGGGACAGGGGACATGAAGCTGATCAGGAGCCAACAGTGTGTCCTTGGTGCCAAGAAGGCTACCGGCATCCTGGGATGCATTGGTAGGAGCATTGCCAGCAGATCGAGGGCAGTGATTTTTCCCCTCTATTCAGCACTGGGGAGGCCACATCTGGAGTCCTGTGTCCAGCTGTGGGCCCCCACTACAGAAAGGATGTAAAATGTTGGAGGGAGTCCACTGGAGGGCAATGAAAATGGTTTGTGGGCTGGGGGACATGACTGGTGAGGAGAGGCTGAAGGAACTGGGCCTATTTAGTCTGCAGAAAAGAAAACCAAGGTGGGATTTGATAGCAGGCTTCAACTCCGTGCAGGGGGGTTGCAAAGAGGATGGAGCTGGACTGTTCTCAGTGGGGGCAGATGACAGGACAAGAAGCTCAAGCTGCAGCAAGGGAAGTTGAGGGTAAATATAAGCAGGGGTGCACGGATATAGATTTTCTTGGCCGATACTGATAGCCAATTATAAGCCAGCCATATTGGCTGATACCGATCCAATAGCTGATTCACAGGACTGCAGTCAGGCAGCTTGGAGAGCAGCGCTCTGCTGGTAAATCTGTGGGGGAGGAAAGGGACATGGCGGGGTGCAGATTGAGGCCCACATGTTGACACAGGGAGTGGGGCAGGGGCTGCCCAGCCAGCACAATGAATGGGACCCTGTGGCCAGGAGCAGGATGGAACCACAGGAGGTTTGTCCAGGGGGTGTGGGAGGGTGGCGAGGGGAAGGAGGGGTCTCCCCGCCACTTCACACCTCCCCAGGGGAGGCATGGTGGATGCGTGTCCCCCCAGGATTTGTGCACAGGGAGAGGGCAGGCAATCCGCTGAGGGCTGGGGTCAGGGTCTGCACCAGTCTCTTCCCAGAGGGGGCTGGGTGGGATGGCTACAGGGAATTATGGGGTGGCTATAGCCCACCCCCAGCCTGCCGTAGCACCACCCTTCCTTGGGGCCCTCCACTCTGCTGCCCTTCCCTCAGTACCCCACGCTGGCCGCGCGTCCCCTGCCTGCCCCACAGCATCAGGCTCACAAGGGAAAGGCAGCTGAGCAGAGTGCCCCAAGCAGTAGTGGCACGGAGGAGGGGGGCCTATAGCCACCCCAAAATTCCCTGTAGCTCCCCCACCCATAACAAGCCTTTCCAGTGCTGCGGCTGCCCACCCCGCGCAGCTGAACCTGCCTCGCTCCCAACCCCCTCACTGGGAAGAGGCTGATGAAGCCCCTGGCCCAGAGCCTGCAGCCCACCCTCACCCCACACACGAATCCAGGGAAGGCACATGTCACCCATGCCTCCCCCGGGGGTGCATGCAGCACTGGGGAGTCACCCTCCTTCCCACCTCCCTGTGCCCCCTGAACAAGCCACCCACGGCTCCATCCTGCTCCCCGCCCCAGGGTCGCATTCACCACCCTGGCTGGGTAGCGTCTGCCCCTGCCCCAGCCCCACTCCCTCCCTCACCGTGGAGACTTCAATCCGTCCCCCACACAGGCTTACCAGCAGGGCACTGCTCTCCAAGCTGCAGGGCTGCATTCCTGGCCACATGCACACAGCATTTATCGGTGACACTATCAGCTACACCAGCCAAAAAAAGCCGATGGCCGATAACATTAATTTTCCTTTTACTGGTGCCAATCCAATATGCAACCAGTATATTGGTGCACCTCTAGATATAAGGTATATAGATCAGATGCAAGCTGAGGTTAGATGTAAAGAAAAAAAACTCTCTCACGAGGAAGGTAGTAAAGCATTGGAACAGGGTACCCAGAGAGGTGGTGGCATCTCCATCCTTGGAGGTTTTTTTGGATCCAGGTAGACCAAGCCCTGGCTGGGATGATGTAGTTGGGGCTCGTCCTGCTTGAAGCAGGGGGTTGGACTAGATATGATATCCTGAGGTCCCTCCCAACCCTCATTTTCTATGATTCTCTCTCTGTAGCACCCATCCATACAGGATAGACCCCTTCCACATGCCAAACAAGTGCTCCCCCCTCCAGCCTGCTCCAATGGAACAGCACCAGCTCTGCACCCACAGGGGATCACCATGCCTTCAAGAAAGTGCAGAGAAGCAGGATTTGCCTCTGACTAAAAACTAAGAGCTCCTAGAATGAAAAACACAGTTAACTTAAGAAGATCCTTTTAAGGACAGATTTCCCCTACAATCACTTGAACACTGCAATGTTGTATTAGTGCCAGAGCATTAGCAAGTGAAGCAAAACTGATCACCTTTTTTTTTCATTGTCTGAGCAGAAAGACATGCCTAAGAAAAAGATCCCAAACAGAATAAATGGCACAAAGATGGATTTTGAATGTTCGTTCAGTTTCAGGATGCCTCAAATTTCCAAATGCTACAAGTGGTTTTAGATGCCCTGCGTGTGATCACAGAATCACAGAAAAGCACAATTGGCAGGGTCCTCAAGAGGTCACATCCAGCCCAGCTCCCTGCTGAAGGCAGGATCCTCCCAGTTAAGTTTCTGTGAAACTTGCTCTTAAAAACCTCCAAAGCTGGAGACTCCACAGGGTCTCTGGGCAGCCTCTTCCAACGCTCAACTACATGCAGCCAATGCAGCCAGATGTTCAGAAAGACCATGCCCCTGCCATGCAAAAATTAGCCTCCACCCCCATCTCCTTTAAGTTGTGACATCTGACACAACAAAGGTCAAGTGCAATGCGATTCTTAATCTCAATGGCATCCTTTGAATACAAATATCATTTTATTTCATAATAAAACTTAAAAAAAACCTCAATAATATCCTTTTAATACTATCCAGGGTTCATACTTTAAATTCATATAAACAATCTCCCCCCAGGGACATTCTGGGCAGCTACCCCACATCTCAGCAAAGGCTGCCTGTCAAAAGGACTATACTTGCTTTTAAAAGAGCTCCTCCTTGCCTCCTGATACATATGGCTGCTCTGCACACACGTACCCAGATGACAGGAACAAGCGGTAAGACCAGCGAGGGAAATCCTCTGGGATAGTTTATGCAGACGAGAAGAAAGTCCCCAGGGGTTTGATACACAGAGCAGTATTTTCATCACACAGGGAAACGCAGTCTGGGATTTCTAGCTGCACCAGGTCACGGGCAGACTCGGTTTTAGTTAGAGCAGTGCAGGTGCCTGTCTCAAGAGCTGAATTCCCGGGTGGCCAAAGAGCTATAGAAAGGAGTCAGGTGCCGCAGCAGGCAGGAACGGTGCAGGCTCAGGTTTGGTGGGCTGCTGACAGAGCGCTGACGTGTTTGAGGACCATCACATGGACATACCTCATGTTTGTAGCCAAACACGCCCTGAGCGTTTTAGAGGCCTGGTACAAGGCAGGGGCAGATTCTGTCCACACCCTTAACAAGCACATTCAAGCCACAGCTGCAGCCAAATCATAACAGAGCTCATTTTTCTCTACAGGCAAGAACAGAAAAAGCACAGTACAACTGTGCCAGAATATCTGCACAGGGATACACTGGTGGTTCTGACATGGGCTAGGACTGTGTTCCTGCTCTACCACTAACCTCCCATGCAATCTTGAGCAACTCAGTCTCTATGCCTCAGTTCCCCACCTGTGAAATGGGCACATTACTTCCTCCACTCACAGGAATGTGACATAAATATAGACTGTGAAGCACTCAAGACACTCTGGAAATGAAGCCAGATAAGCCCACAGGGGAGACAGAAGAAAAGCTTTAAAGTTAAGGCACTGGACTGGATCTCAGGAGACCTGGGTCTTGCTCCCAGCAATGCCTCAGGATCCATGTGAAACCCTGAACCAGTTGTACCACAGCTCTGCATCTGTAAAATGGGGTTGATAATATTTCCCTATCCCAGAAGGATGTTGCAGGTACCATTTAAAGTTTGGCAGATGCTTAAATGCTAAGATGCCAGGAGCAACAGCCAAACCCATAAAATAAAATCACAGGAGCTAGTGGTTGCGGTCCACAAAAAAGAGGGGAGCAGTGTCATATTTATAAGGCACATGGGGAGATGATATACAGAGAAGGGGAAGATGAATGGATAGGAGCAATGGCAAAGGGACAAAGAAAGAGAGAGACGTACAACATGAGGGGAAAATGAAAGAGCCGTAGCTAAAGGAAAAGGAAACAGACTTTATACATTCCAGGGCACCCAAAAAGACCCATTTAAAACAGTGCCTTCAACACCAAGATGTTCTGAACATCTCTCTGCTGCTCCAAGAACCTGAGCTATTGTTTTCCCCTGATGTTTTTAACAACTTCTAAAAAAGTTTTGGGAGATGAAAGCCCCTGAAACATCAGGGGTCCGCCAACCATGCAGCAGCTGACTTACATTTTTGTATCCTCTGGCCATCTCCTTTGTAGCAGCTGCCAGCACAGCCTTGGTCTTCGCATTAATGCCCTCAGGAGCAACCACGACCACTGTGCGCTGCTTTGCTGGAAGCTGGGAGAGCACGTCCGACTTCAGGCGGCGGATCATGATGGATTCTTCCAGCAGAAGCTTGAGCTCCCCTAGATTGGACGACCTGGAGTAGTCCCACCCCCACGGCATCTGGGAAAGAACAGAGCATTATCATCAGCACCAGAGAGAGCCTTCAAGCCATTCCTAGTCAGCAGAAGATCTGGCTAGATTAGTGCAGAGCAGATGGGAGATGCATCCAAAGAGGAAATGGGAGACCATGTAGCTCCCTGTCCCAATTCTAGGGGTCTGCACTGATCTTCATGTCATAGGAGGCTTTTAGGGTCTTCTTTGCCTGTCTGGCTGGGCACATGTCTGCACAAGTGATCTTGCTGGGACCAGCAGGGATATAGCCACATCAGCATGGATACCATGCTAAGTGAGCTGGCCTGGGTGTCTCTGAACAGAACCACATTGTGCTGTGGCAATGAGCCCTTTCTTGTGATGTGTTTACGCAGTGTCCCTCCAACTGAGCAGACCTCTCATGTTCTGCTGTCCTTGGTTTCTTGTCCATGTCCGACACCAACTCTCCAGGCTCTGCTTGCTGTATACTTTATGCTATCTAGATTGCCTGCACGGATTGCTAAAGGAGGACTGAGCCTTTGGACTTGGAACAACAGCACAACCCAGGAAGCTCACCCAGTATGGCCGGCTGTAGAGCGTACCTCCTGAGTAACAGCTCTAGACAGACTGTGATGCAGTGAAGAGTCACATTAACATACTCAGTTTTTGGTAACTGCCTGCTCTATTCTTGCAATCCCGGTAAAAAAGTTAACTACTTATATACTGGCAACCTCAGTGAATTAATTGCTTTGTGTTTAATGAATAATTTTCTAGTCAATAAAGCTTCTGACTGATTATCAAATGAGTGCCAGTAGTTAATTGCATAGTTCTCCTCGTCCACAAAAAAGTAAGGCTCAAGCTTCAGCCCAACAGCCCGGTCCCCAGAAACACTCCAGACCTCAAAGATTGCAAGGGAGGCTGCTCATGGCTTTTCTGATGAATGTAAAATGCTCCAATGTTCAGTCTCATAGGAGGGGGAGACTAATACTGAACAAAACCCTGCGCATGGGATTTCAGCAGAGCAGCTTTATCTCATCAGTACTCCCTTGAAGTCCTTCCCAGCTGTTCTATCCCTAAGCTGGCTATCGCAGGGATAATGGGCCGACCCTTCTGCTGTAGTTTCACTAGGGGAAATCATACTCTGCTTATTTATATGCAAAACTGGAAACCAATAAAAATCACCGCCGGGTGCTTGGCATTGTGGTTACCTGCAAGGCATGAGGCAGGGTCACAGTGCACCACACCGCTGCCCGCCTCACATACGAAGCACCTGCTCCCCGGGTGCCCCTGATGGGAGCAGAGCTTCATTGTAGGGTCAGCAAAAGGCTGTGGAACCAACCCAGACTCAAATGAAGGCCTGTCACAAACCACATCCTCTTCTACTCCAATGCCCTGGGCTATTTTTTGGCCTGCCTTGCCCAACAGAAACCTAAAAGGTAGGAAAGAAAACTAGAAAAACAAAACCCTATGAATATCCCTCTCCTTGTCCCAGCATCCCCAGCTCCCCTCTGGGGGAACAGAAGAGCGAACACAGTGCAGGCAGGTGAGGACAAAGGAGGAACCAAATAGGCCATCAGCAACCAAGTCCTCCTAAATAAGCATCCTAGTTTCTAACTGGTAGAAAACCTTGAACTATACCATGTCATATCTGCTCCCAAGAACTGGCAAACTTCAGCCTCAGGCACCTTTGACTACCTTATGATTCACTTACCCCAAGCAATTATTCCTACATGACTATACTATTTATCTATGAATAGTCTGGTTCTCTACTCTTCCACAGCAACATAACAGTAGCAGATGAAGGCCATGGGCTATGCAACTTGATAGCTATATCAACATCTGAATGATCAGAAATGATCCTAGCAATGAGTTCTGACTGCTCATTTCTAAAACAGAAATTTAGAAGTCGTTGTAAGACATATTAGTAAACTGGGAAAACAGATAGTCATGTACCATCCTATTACAGAGGGGTTTATCGCTAGAATTATTAAAATATACTTTGATATTTTCGATTTAAAAAACAGAAAAAATTAATAAAAGTGTATTCTGCTACATGCACATCTGGCTTTTGTCCATAATAACCCAGAACAAAAGCATCCAACTGTGATTTCCTTACCAAAGTGTAGCAGAATTGCACTTGAGTCAGGAAATTTATTGAAGTGTTTGGAAAAGCTGCCAAAAATCTTACAAATGCAGAGCATGTGCTGAGGTAGAAATTGCTTAATTTATTTGACCTTTGCCAACATCAACCTATTTGAAAAATAGTTTCGTGGCATCTTCTTCAGAAAAAGAGTTAACCTTATGTTGTAAATAAGGAGGTGGCATTTCATTTGTTGCATTTTTATAGAGCAAGGGTGCCAAGGAGTTGACTTGTACACCAATAAAGTTTCTGTTTTATATCTTTTCTTATTGCATCCTTCAGACTTGCAGTTTTCTGCCACAAAACTAAATCAATTCTTTTTAAATAGAAAATCGCCAGGATTTTATTTTAAATTGGATGGTTCAGGTTTGTCAATTTCTGTTTAATCCGACAATGACAACAGGATTTACTATTAATAATACGTCAGATTTATACAGCAATCAACAGCTCTCCAAATGCTTTACAAACCATCTCTATGTAATTCCACTCCCTGCTACTGCAGAGCCGCTCTGTTTAACCAGGCACCGCAGCAAGAGTTTAGGACAGGAAGTAAACTCCAACTCCTCATCCACCTGAATAAAACTGCAAGGAGGGATTGTAGAGACATGGAGAAACTGGCAAAACTAGAACGTGGTTAGAACAGCAAGTCTGCAACCCCTTACATTTGCAAAGAGTTCAAAGAGACAATAAATCACCAAGACCATAGTTGGGATTCACCTACAAGACAACACCTGCAGGGGTACAGTCATGCCAGTGCTTTACTGAGACACTGGTCCATAACCAACCTACAGCAGCAACGTGTATAACCACCTGTAACACCACTGTACATCTCATCCAAGTCTCCCATCCTGGCCTGATCCTGCTTAGCTTGGGAGGCCCAATGAACTTGTAGCCTGAGCAGCTGCAGCTCAAGAATTAACTTTAAGGCTCCCAGACAAAAAAAAACACAATCACTGGATGGGACTTACCCCTCAAGCCAACATCTTCCTTAAATTGCCCTTTTAGAGCTTAAAGGGCTGCAGCACATCAAACAAAAGGGAACCCCCAAATCGAGCATGTGGAGAAGGGTGTTTTAGCTTTAGGCTGCCAACCCCCCCCCACAAATTGGGTCTCCCTCCTCTCTGCAACACTCATGCAATTGTGCATGTTACAGAGCTTTGTACCTATGCCTGTAACATCAACTCCCTTCACCAAGAGGGGGGAAAAAAAAACATTTCCCTTCCTTATTTTATGGCCAGGCTGATGGACTGTCCTGCCAACCCGCCACCTCGATTCAGCCCCGCGTGGCTCATTTGGCAGCCAATGCGCAGAAATCTCATTTCACGGTTTTCCATTGGCTAGCTATCCCTATTCTTTCTCAAATAGCTAGTGACATTCTTCCCAGGCCCACTCCCCCTGCTACTATCATTTGCTGACATTAACTACTGCAAAGCCTCTCTCAGGTAACCACCTAATGGACCAGCAATACTCAGTAGCCTAGTAGAGGTGGGTCTAATGATGAAACAAGATTGTACTGGACACCTTGGGGAGGTATCGAAGGGGCTTTTGATGACAGGGGTGACACTAAATGTGGACCCTTCACACTGGTTTCACTGTAGGTGGCAACCTTATTTATAAGGTGAAGATCGCAGAGATCCAAGTCCTGACCTTTCAGAAACCCATCCTAAAGCTTCCTCTCTGCTCAACAGTCAGCATGTGCAGGAGGAATGATTTCATTTCCTTCATCCAATTCAATGTCCTACCTGAGGTCCGCATGGCTCGTAATTGAAGCAATAGTCATTCATGCGGAACTCTGCCCCAAAGGGTTTATGATACTCAAAACCTATTTAGTCTTACATGCTGCAGTCCAGCCCTTTGTACTGCCAAACAGATTAGGCCACATCTCTTCATTTCCCCCAGGGAAAACTCCGGTTTCTGTTCAGACAGGAAGAGTTCAGCAGCTGCAATGAAGATATACTGAATGCGCAGGGCTCCTAGAGTTTCTGCTGTGGCTGGGGAATAAGAAGGGTCCATTCCTTGCTGCATAAGCTGCATGTAATTAACGTTAATGCAGGGACCTCACAGAACCCAACAGCTAATCCTGCTTCCCCAAGCGGTGTGATCTATGCTAAATCAGCAGCATTGATATATTAGTGCTAAAACCAATGGGCTGGTCAACCGTCACGGATTTCAGGAGCCCTGCTAGCGCCACACCAAAGTAGGTGCTGCAATTTCAGGATCTGTGGATTCGATTACTTTGGATGAAATCCAGATACAAAGCTGTCTCGTGGAGGCCCACTGTGAGCAAGGCACCCCAAAGAGACTGACTGTACACAAGTATATGAAAGCAAGTCAACACGCGGTTACTCCTAAGTCTTACACAAGTGACCACAAGCTGCTGTACAGTTATCTGCCAGCGCTCATACAGTGACTCAGTTTCCCCAAGCCCTTTCTGGAAGGAGCAAATTATCCCCATTTTATAGAAGCTGAAGCACAAAAAGCTCCAGAGATATGATCAAGACCAAAGAGAGAGTCAGTGTCAGACTGGGATCAGAACTCAGGAGTTTCTGGCTCCCACTCCTGCGCTCCCATAACTAAATGATGTAACACTTAGTCCCTGATATCACAGACAGGCAGCTATCATACACTCCCCTCCCCATGCTTCACCTTCAAGCCACTTCAGTATTTTGCTCTCATTGCTCCAACTGGGTGGTTTTCAGATCCTCACTCCCCTAACAGTTAGAAACTTTCTGCTTTCCACCCTATATTTGCTCATGGATGATTAACATTCATTTGTTCAGTGCTGAAATTTTCCTTTAGTATAAATAGCTCTTCTCTCCCCCTGGTTCTTTAAAGACAGCAAATTCTACCTCCCTCCCCCCACTCCAGCCTTCATTCTGCTAGGTTAAATAAGCATGCTTCTTTTATTCTCCCCTTGTAAGTCAGGTTCTCCATTCCTACAATCATCCTAGCAGCCCTCCTCTGCACCTACTCCTGCTTGAATTTGTCTGTCTTAAACATGAGTGATCAGAATCGCATGCAGTATTTCAAAAGGAGATCATAACAGTGGAATTAATAGCTCCTTATCTCTGCCTAATATAGAGTACACTCACGTTTGCCTTCTTCCTGGCTGCATAGTATAGGCGTACAAATAGATCACAGAGTAACTAGGAGCCACCAGTGTCTCTCTAGGTGGAGGTCTGAATACTCAAAACATTTATTCTGGGGGGATTCATGTGGGTAACAAAAAGGAGCAGCTGGTTTGCAAAGCTCTAGCTGTGCAGCTCAATTCACATTCTTAATCCAGTTCAGAACTTAGTTTGGTTCCTTTCTCTGCCCCTACCAGACATGTCAAAATAGGTCAAGGTTTTGTTGCATGATGAGCCATGGAAATCACGCACTATTAGAACGAGTGCTCTACCAGCACTGAAGAATACTCAGCCTGGTTAATTCAGCCACTGGAGAATTCTCCCTGGGGAATAGCAGAGAACTGATGTCACAGCCACCACTCCCTGCAGCCTGGGAGCTAGCATGGACAGGGCATTGCTGTGCCTGCCTGAGCTACAGCTGTTGTGATGGCCCCCAGCAGCCGCACGGCAACTGGTACAGATTAGAGCAGCCTGCAGCCTAATGCAATCTGTGCAGGGGACTACCCCAGGATCAAGGAGTGCATTGCAAAGGCAGCTCAATGGCTTCATTTCTCCTTCAGCCCAGGAGTTGTTTTGCAGAGTCTAAATGCTAACGGTTTAACAAGTGTTAATTAAACCAAAGGAGAGGCGGCTCACCAACTAGTCACCCCAACCTGCAGCTGTCCCTCAGAGTCAGCCTTTTTGTCTGCACAAGGGCTACCAAGGGAAGATCGTATCATCTCAGGCTCCCCAACTGCTGCTGCAACCAATTTGTCTTTTTGCTTTCTGAGCTGGCATCTGATTAGGGCAGATTTTAATTGGAAAGCTCTGCCTCGCTAACCCCAGCAATGAGGGACACCTGCAGCACAAAATGCTTCTCAGGAAGACAGCTTTCAAAATGCTGCCCTGAGCAAGGTTAGGGACTCTTCCTAAAAATCACAAGCAAAGCTACAGAAATTAGACATTAAAATGCATGAAGGAAATCTTCACTTTGGCAGAAAAGTAAGAAGTCAGACAGCTCCATTCAGCAGTCTGTGATCACATGAGCAGGCATGTTGTAGGTTACACCACAATCGCATTGAACTACCTTCTTGGCATCACAGTACCGGAGTCCAAAGGAATGGAACTGAGGGAAGAAGCTGGGTCGGACGGCTGCAATCTGGGTATACAGCTCAGCAGGCCGCGACAAGGCAGGAGTTCCCGAGAGCAGGATCACTCTTTTGGCAGCCTGAGGAAAGAGCATTGAGCACGACTGTTACACAAATAATGCAAGCAGAGTTCAGGGGTCAATTGAAGTAGCAGCCACTAATAATAAATCCCCTCCCACAAAATAAAACATCAGTGCAAAGTCTTCAAACACATCTGTTTTTGTTCAAGGACATAGAGAACTGGCAATCACCCACCACCCACATTCAGGTCTTTGCATCCAATTCCACAATTCAATTAGCATCAGATTTTAGAAGAGTGCTTCACACACATGCACCCGGGAGGTATATCTTGAGCATCATACTAACTTCTGCTGCAACGATGTTTCCACAGGAAGCCATCCATTCACTCCACCTGACGCACACAAATGCAAGGGGTATGGGCAAGATTCTAATTATTATTATTTTAAATTGCAGAGTTAACTGTCAGGGGCAAAATATACTGCCCAAGGAGACCCACCTGCCAATCTAGATGGCTCATTGACACCAAAGCCATGAGTTAACAAACAGAGACACATAAGAAAGCTGAGTGCAATAAATCATATAGGCAAGGTCATAAAATGAAAACCTGCAAAGAGTGAAGGGAAAAAAAATCTACTTCATAAACAAAATCCTCCAGATGCACTTTTGCCCTCTTGGCTCCAACAATGTCTCATTTCATTATTACAAGAGAAGTATGAATATCTGCTGCTCTAATTTTACATATTTTAGTTAAATTACACATGGCTTGTAATTTCCTGCATGGTTTAATGCAGGATTATTAAAATAACAAAGAGATTCTTGAATGACATCTGTACCGATGGCTCATTCACATTTAAATGAAAAAGAAAATGAATTTTTTTTTTATCGTTTCAGCAAGATCTACCAAACCTATTCACTCGACTGGTTCAATCACTTGCTGACCGACTGTGGTGGAGAAAATGTTCACGTACCAGCTACCGGAAATTAATTCAGCAGTTCTTTGTCTTCAGCCTATAAATATCTGACAAAATGAGTGGGATTTTTCCCCCCTATTAAGTAGATCAGAGACAGAGAGATGCGGTCAATGGTGAGGCCAGAAAATTTACACCCATATTAAAAGAGCGTTTTGGTTTTTTTTTAAATTGAATTCAAGGAGGAGGTGCCTGACTGTTTGAAGCCAGAGAGAATGGGTTTTGTCCAACATGACTATAATGCCCCCCCTTTTCCCTCTCCACACATGATGGAGGGTAGGGAGACACCGCTGAGGATTTTTTGGGTCAATACTGATGGCTGATTATCAACCAGCCATATCAGCTGATACCGATTCGAATGCCAATATGCAGCCTGGCATCTTAGACAGCCAAAATCTGTTGGAGGAAAAGGGTGTAGGGGGTTGCAGATCAAGGCCCCCACAGTGAGGTAGGAAGAAAGAAGAGGCCTGCCCCTGCCCCAGCCCCACTCTCTCCCTCACCATGGGGGCCTCAATCTGCCCTCTGACACCCCTTCTCTGCAACAGACTTACTAGCCGGACACTGCTTTCCAAGCTACCGGGCTGCACTCCTGGCTGCACGCATGCTGTGACTGCGCGTGTACACACGGCATTTATCGGCAAAGTTATTGGCCACCTGAGCCAAGAAAAGCCGATTGCCGATAATGTCAATTTTCCTTTTTTCAGTGCAGATACAATATGGACCGAGGGGCCAGAGGCTGGAACACATCCAGTTCTCCAGTACAACAGATAACAGAACAGGAACAGAAATAAAGAGAATAAAGACTCACCATGAGGGTACAGGTCTGGGATTCCACCCAGGGAACCCCAGGACGTGCCCACTCTGTGGTGAAGGTGTCTGAAGACCCAGTTGACACTGCCCAGAGATATGAAACAAGTAGGACCAGAAGTAGGTACCAGGATCCTAGAGAACCTCCCCATCAAGCTTCCTTCTCTCAGACTGTTGGATGCCCACTTTCAGAGGAAGCTGCCAAAGGGGGTCTCATGTCTTGTTGAATTTAAGACAAGGAGTGCATAATGAAAAAGATGGGAAAGTGCACTCAGAACTCAGCCAGCCTCAGAAGAGGAGCAGCAACCTGGTGAAATGGAGGTAAGCATCTGCTAGGGCCTCCCTCGTCCCACAGAAAAGGAAAGGTCCAGTGGGCATCCATGAACTGTGCTAGCTGCATGCCCAAGCTCATAGCTCCATCCAGGAGATACAAGCCACTATTCCCAATAGGCAAGTCCACTGCAGATCTTCATCTGCATCAGAAGAGGTGCCAGACTGACAGCCTGGGGTATCTGACAGCCTGGGGGGACCTAACAGTTTAATTTGGTACATTGGTATAGGATGGGGAGCAGCACCGGCTTCTCTACCACACCCACCTACGATGCTTTATAGCTAAAGGGGAGTCCAGTCCCTATGGCCCATTCAGTCCTTAGCAACCTTTGGTCACTGACCCTTCTAGCAAGTTATTTAGGACGGGCCTCCAGTCTCCACAGCCTTCCTCCCATCCTTGGGGCTGTCCCTTATGTAATCAGCTCTGTTCATTACTCCCATCAGAGACTGACAATTGGATGATGGAGGAACGGCCCAGAATGCCTGTTCCACCAAGTGCAAGAGGGCCCAAGCACCGCTCTGAGCTGCTTCCACCTGCTCCTAAGCTGTCTACTCTTTGTTGCCCAAGTGGCAGTGAATGGGAAGGGCTTATTTCAGCAGTGGTCCTGGCATTGGCAAGGAGGCCATACAGACACATCCTTCATGTCAATACTCACCACTTCCGACTGAACAGAGAGACCCACAGGCTCATTTTGAATAAAGCACTGACCAGCTGAAGCTGGAAACAACCTTTAAGGAACTATTGACCTGGGTCGGACTCGTAGATTGGTAGGAAGAACAATGCAGTGTCTGAGCATCCATCCCTCCCATGGGAAGAGGGATACACGGGCACACATCTACCTCCAACCTGAAGCTATGAGCTTGGGCATGTGGCTAGCACGGTTCATGGAACCTTTCCTTTCCGTGGGAAGAGGCAGACCCTAACACAGGCTTACCTCCAGACAGCTGTCCCTTTTCTGGATCTGCCAGAGCCTTCTGCTGCACTTCTCCCTCATCTCTTCCATTACAAGCTCCTTGTCCTTAGCCCTACAAAGCCATGGACCTTCTTGTCAGCTTTGTACCTTTCTACCATAGCCATTTACACCTCCTCTACCTTTTATCCAAAGGCATGGTGCTCCAATGAGACACATCTGCCTTCTTTCCCCTCCCTTTTTGCAGAGGTGCCTCAAGAGGGAGTTGTGAGAAGTTTCAACTGTGTACAGAAGGTGAAGCTCAGCAAATTCAAACTCATTCCAAGGCGCAAATTTTTAACCACCAACCACTGGAACAACTCACAGAAGCTATGATGGATTCTTGTCAACAGACATTTTAGGTCATGACTACATGCTTCTTTTAAGATACTCCGGTTCAACTGATGAACTTGAAACAGGCTTTAATTCAGTGAAGTCCCGTAGCCTTTGTGATGCAGGAGGTCTGACTGAATGATCACAAATGTCCCGAAATCTCTGTAAGATGGGCCGCTAGGGAACCCAAGAGGGAAGAAGGCCTCTAGAAGACAGGGCCCCAAGTATTGAGGGGTGGAAAAATCCCTTAATAGAGGCTGTGTTCTGCTTGCAGCAACTAGCTGAAAAAAGGAAAAAAGCGATACTACTAAAGCTTTAAGCCCTCACTGATTGCTGCATACTCTTCTTTGCTGCTGACCTATCTGTGGGATCGGAATATGGGTTTCAGGCTCAGGAAAACTAAGTAAGCTAGCAGGATAGCAAGACCACACAAGTGCTTTCTGGCAGGAGCAAATCTCCGTGAGCACTAGGCTAGTGTGTTTCCATACGGAAGATAAAACTCACTTCTCAACATCGTAGCATCAATTCTAACCTTCCACACAGACAGACCACTCTCTTGGGTGCCCTTGTAGCCAAGATGACAGCTCTTTACACAAGAAACAAAACAGGGGAAGCCAGACTTAATGCCTTTTTTTGCTTTTTTTTTTTTTTTTTTTTAAACAGGGGACCTGTACCCTGCCCCATTGCTCTCATCTATTCAATAACAGTCATAAAGCAAATAGTGCCATGCTATTCAGGTACTACATATGCAGCAGATTTAGAAAGCAG